GCCAAGGATGGGCCGAAGGGGCAAGGATACAAGGGTATCCTAAGGGAAATTGCCCATCCTTGCTATGCGGGTCGGCTGTCCCCGTCGGCACCCGTCCCGAAATCTTGCGTGTAGGTCTGCTGCTCGAAGACCAGCAGAGGAGAGAGGAGGCCCTCTGGACGCCTGAACTTGGTACAACGTTGCAATATACATGGGGACGATGCCAGCCAGCAGATGTTGTCCTCACCCAGCAACGGCCACTATTGGGCGGGCGTGTGTCGCTCCATACTGAAAGACGTCTGCGGCGACACCGACAACGAACCCTGTGCAAATTGGGCAGGAGCGGCTCTCGGTCATCGTCGCCATCCTTCCCAACCCAAATCTCGGGCCTCCTGAGGAGAAAGGGAGGAGGATCTCAGCCGATCGGACGGGCAAGTAGCGCACAGCCATGGGCGCAGAGAGAAGTGCGACGAGGGGGAACTAAGCTGCGCGCGCAAGAAGGCGCGATTGCACCCAATTCCAAGAGGCAACTAGCTGGAGCGCGTGCGACGCGTGCGACGCGTCCGCAAAACAGTACCCCCACCATAATCATCAAACGCATCATCGTCATCATCATCATCATCATCATCATCATCATCATCATCATCATCATCAGCATCAGCATCAGCATCATCATCATCATCATCATACTCATCATTAGCATCATCAGCATCATCAGCATCATCAGCATCATCATCATCGTCATCATCGTCGTCATCATCATCACCATCAACATCGCAATCACCACCACCATCATCATTGTCAGGATCAACGTCAGCATCAGCAATATAATCAGCCTCGCCATCATTAGTCTCATATCCATTGTCATCACTAACGCCGCTGTCGTCGTCGCCATCATCATCATTGTTGGCCATCTCCCAGATCGGATTCGACATCATCACCATCGTCGTCATCATCTGCACCATCGTGAACATCATCGTCATCAATATTACTGATACCACCACTACGACCATCACCATCACCATCATCATCACAATCACCATCACCGCCACCATCACCACCATCATGGTCATCATCACCATCATCACCACCACCATCATCACCTTCATAATCATGATCAGCATCAGCAAAATCATCATCACATGATCAACGTCAGCAACAGCATCGACAGCATCATCAACAGCGTCAGCCTCATCATCCGCATCACCGTAGTCACCATCATCAGCAGCAGCACCACCTATATGCTCATCATCATCATCATCATCCTCATCATCATCATCATCATCACCATCATCATCATAATCACAATCACCATCATCACCATCATCCGCATCACCGTCGTCGTCATCATCATCATGATGATGATCATCATCATCAGCATCAGCATCATACTCAGCATCATCATCAGCACCATCATCATGAGCATCATCATCATCATCATCATCATCATCAGGATGAACACCATCACCATCAACGACACCATCATCATCTGCATCATCGCCAGCAGCAGCAGCGTTATCACCCTCATCCGCAGCCGTCCCGATCTGCCCGTAGCCTTGCGACTCGGGCGCGCTCCGGGACCCTCCTTCGGGCCACCCCAGCACGCGGCCGGCGCCCGCGAGCGACCGCGGCGAGCGGAGCCGCGGCGCCCTCCGCAAGCGCAGGCGACCTCGACGACTGCCCGCGGGCTACCCCGCCGGGCCTGGCGGACCTGGGCGCCCGCACCGACACCGCGGAGCCTCGGAACCTCCGCGGCCCTCGGGCGCGAGTTCATGGTGGGCGAGGAGCGGGGGGGAAGACAGGGGCACTTCTCGGGCCCTGGAGGCCCCCTTCTGGGGCCCCCAAGGGTCCCTTCCAGGGGGGGCCCAGAGTGCCCCCTTTGCGGCAGCCCTCGCTGCCCCCCCATCCGTCGCGCCCCCCCCCAGGAATTCGCTTCCTCCTGGCGCGCATCTGGCGCTTCGGAATTGTCTTACCGAGTCTTGTCGCGCGTTTGGCGCGTCTCTTGTGGGCCTGCAAACGCGTTCGGCGTTGCTCTCACGCTCGCCGAATTGTCCTGCCCAAGCGCGTTTGGCGTATGGCTGCTCCGTTCGTTCCTCAATTTTTCGCGCCCAAGGCTCGACCAGCGGCGCGGCGCAAGCGAGGCGTGCCAGGCCTGGTGTGGTGCAGCACTGCGGCGCCCGCCCACGAGGCGGTCGCGCACGCCTGGAGCCTCCAGGGCGAGCGGCGCCGAGCCTCTCCGCGCGCCGCAGCCCGTGAGGGCTCCTGCCGACGGCGAGCCACAGGACCGCCCGTGCTCAGGGGCCCGGTCGCGGCAGAGGCCACGCCGCGCAGGGGCGCCGCGCGGGCCGTGGGGAGGTGGAGATGGTGGAGGCGGCGGGGCGGTCCCCCCCTCCCCCAGCGCCAAAGGTCCCGCCCTGGGGCTCTGTGGCGGCGGCGGCGAGGGGGCCAGACCGTGCGGACGGCGGCCGAGGTGGCCGGGCGCGAGGCCGATGGGGAGACGCAGGCCCAAGCGCCTCTGAGGCGGACTCCGCGGCGGACACGGTGAGGAGCTTTTGCCTAGCGCGGGGCGGCGGCGGCCTCTGCAACATGCTGATGCCCTGCGGGCTGGTAGCCAGTCGCCTTGTCGCAGGACGGGAGGCTGGGAAACGCTCGGGACATGGATGCTTGGCATGTCGCGTCGTAGCGTGGTGGGCCAGAGCCAGCGGCGCGGCACGCTAAGCAACAACTCCTCACTGTAAAGCACGAGCTCTGGCCGGCGCGCTCGGCCATGGGACGCAGGCGGGCATACCAGCAGTATGTGCCCTCCTCGGAGGCGTGCGTCCGACCCGAACATATAATCCAAACATCTTTGAGCATTCGCTTCCCGCACGGTATGGCCGAAAAGCGCCAGCCACGGAGCATATGCCGCCGCGCCGTTTGTTCTGAACGTGCCACACCACGGCAAACCAACGGCAAACCCAGCGTCCTGGGCCCATGTGGACGAAGCCGGCACCGCGGCAAACTCACGGCAAACCCTGCGCCCGAGGCGGCGCTTGCCATGGTGGCCCAGGCGCCCTCCCCAAGACGTAAGGCCACGCGTCGGAACAAGCAGCGCGCGTCGGAACGATCTCCGCAGGCCACTGGCTGCGCCCGTTCGCCGCCCGCCACGCCCCAGCGTAGCCGGGGGCCTTGGCCGGCGCCGCCCCGGTTGCTGTGCTGGGCGCGCGCTGTCGCGCGGGACGCGCGCGCGCAAGCAGCGCCGGATCTCCCCAGCTGAAGGGGAGCGACAGGGCGGATTGGCTCACAGGAGGCAGCGTGGACCTGGAGTCGGCGTTGCATCGCAGATACAGTCGGCCCGTACCATAAGGATGCGCGATAAGGATGCAAGGCCCTTGGACGCCCATGCCACAGCTTCTCGAGCGGGGCGCGGCCAACGAAAGTAGCCAAGGATGGACCAATGAGGCAAGGATGCAGGGGTACCCTTGGGAAGGATGCCCATCCTTATTATGCGGGTTGACTGTAGATCGGTGTGAACGTCCCTGGGCGGAACCAAAAACTATGCTCTTGGGCAGGGTGTGGCGCTCAGGCACCGATATCGGCGATGAACGGGTGACCGGGGGTCGGTGTTCCCCCCGCCCCTGGGCCAGTCCCCCCCGTCGGCGCCCTTGACCAGCGATGAAGGCGCTGTCTGGGGGCAGCAAGCGACCACATCCATGTCGAAGGAACGCCCCCAGAGCACCGAAGCCAGCTCAGTGCTGGTAGTGGTCCACATGGCGTGCCAGGACGGCCAAACCGACCACAACCACAATCAAAGTGTTTATGTCGAGGTCGGTGGGTTCTTCCCCGAGGGGCCCTCCCGAAAAATCCATTCAAATGCGGCTGTGTTTTTTTGTTGTCCCCTGATCGTGCGCTCGGATAGAGCTGGGCCCCTCGGGGCCGAGGGCAGCGGTTATATTCCATCTTCGGCGTCGGCTCCGAGAGCAGCGGCAACGAGGAAGGCAGCGGGGGAGGGCTCTGGCATCACTTGCGTGCTCCGCTGTGTCGTCAAGATGCGGGTTTGGGCAACTCAGCTGCCCCGACACGCGACACGCAACACGTAGCGTGTTGGCACGGAACTGGCCACGTAGACTGAAAACGTGGGTCTGGCGCGACATGATCGCAAAAACGTGGGGCCAACACGTGCCAAGTCAAAACGCAACGTGTTAGCACGGACGTTTTGAACACGGTACGTGTTGCGTGTTGCGTTTCAAAACGGGCGTGCCAGGGCAGCTAAGTTGGGCAGCGTTCCCCAGATGCAGCAAGATCGGCTTGGGCTACGCTCTTTCACCGTCTCGCCTGCTGCTTGGATGCCCGAGACACACTGAAACTGGGATTGGCGTTTCTGGGAAGCCCTGCGGCCCAGCGAGCTAGACTGGCAAAGCTGTTGGCAGAGCGGGGTTGAACAGATGCTGCAGAGAGGCGCTGACACTGCTGCGGCCTCCCTGGGGCGCACCAGGCTATAACCATCACCACAATCATCGTCATCGGCATCACCCTGATCAACATCATCATCACCAATAGCATCACCGTCGTCATCATCATCATCATCATCAGCACCATCATCAACATCATCATGACCATCATCACCATCATCATCATCATGACCATGACCATGACCATGACCATGACCATGACCATGACCATGACCATCACCGTCGTCGTTGCCATGTGATCGTCATCACCGTCGTCATCACCATCACAAGCACCGTCATAATCAACACCAACGCCATAATCAGCATCGCCATCATTATCGTCATCGTCATCATCACCAGCATCACCATCAAGAACACCCTCATCAACACCAACGCCCTCACCATCATCATCACCGCCACCAGCATCATGTCCGCCATTGCCACCATCGCCATCACGACCACCATGACCACCACCATCATCAACACCAAACATCACCGTCACCAACTCACCCGCTGGCCCCATCCCAACTTCCGCTGGCCCGAGATGCGGGCCACGTGCGGTGCAATGCCCGCGGTAGCCGCTCAGGCCTCCTAGAACCCCTCGGCCACACCAGCGGTGTCCGCGGAAGCGGCCGCGACGGAGGACGCCGCCTCGTGGGCCGCCTCGTCCGCCGCCGCTGCGGCGGGGGGCGGCTCAAGAGCGGCCGTGACTGTGGTGCCGCCGCCGTCGAACGAGACCGCGAGGAACCAGGCGCGGAAGGCTTCGCCCGCGCAACGGGCGCGGCGCGAACGCTCCCTGGAGGTGCAGAGAGCCTCCTGCCAGCGGGCCAGCTGCCACGCCTGCCTGCCCACCTCCGCACGCGAGGCCGCAAGCTGGGCCGCGAGGAGCTCGCGGCGAGAGGCCCGGCCCAGGCTGGCCCAGGCCACGAGGACAGAGCGCTGAAATTGCTGTGACCTGGCGGCCTCGACACGCAGGGACTCCGCACGCCACTTCCTCTTCAGCTCGAGCGCGCTCCGCCTGCCCTCCATGCGCAGCACGGCGCAGCCCGCGGCTGCCTCGGCGGCCGCGATGTCCAGCTGGCTCTTGTGGAGGGCCTCGCGCTGCCGCTCCCGCGTGCCCGCGTACCAGGCATGCAGCACCGCCTGCATGCGGCGGTCCATGCTCGCGTGAATCGCGGCCACGCCGTGCGCACGCCTCTGCCTGCGGAGCTCGTCCGCCAGCTTCGCGCCCGCCGCCCTGACCCTGTGCAGCTCGGTGGCGAAGCAGACCTCGGCGTGAAGCGTCCGCTGGCGGCGGGCTGCCTCGCGCTGCTGCAGATGCAGGGCCGCTCTCCACGCGACCACGGCGGCGACCAGGTGCCGCCGGGAGGCGTGCTGGGCCACCTGCAGCGCCCGAGCCGCGCCACGCTCCTCCGCCACCACGGCGCGGCGCAGCGCCTTCTGGTGCTCTGCTCGGGGGGCGGGGGAGCTGCTCGACGAGGCCGCCTTCAGATTTTTTCGGCCGCTCTGCACTGACTAGGGTCATGAGGCGAACGCGTGCTTCTCAAGCGCGGAATCTAACACCCCCCCTCTGGGCATAGCCGCAGCTATTATAGCAGAAGTCGCAGCAGCAGCAGCAGCAGCAGCAGCAGCAGCAGCAGCAGCAGCAGTAGTGAGACTACGGCACATGCTACGACTGCCGCTGCCAACTCATCTACAAGCATTACGCGGCGGTAGTGGTAGAAGCAGCGCACGCCCTATCAGTACACCCTAGGCGATGCTTAAGAAAACCCAAGTTTTCGGCCAGAGTCTCGATTATTATTGACGTTTCAATGTAAACCCTAAGATTTGAATAGGCATTATGGGTTTTTATTCAAATTATGAGACTATGAATTTCTTAACCCATGATTTCTAAAGCATTTCGCAGGGTGTACTCGTGCGCATATCACGGCTACGAGCAGTGCTGGCTGTGATGATACATACAGCAATCACTATGCTACTAACGGTGAACATTGTGTATGCGCTACTGTTTGTGTTGGTACACGTCGCGTTGACGGCACATGCTAGCAACGAGCAGCAGCAGTAGTACCTGCAATGATGAATCATCTGGACGGTAATCATGTAATAATGTCGTAAACCTGGTCGCGGCTGTGGCAGTGTAATGAAGTGTTGAAGCCACTGCGATCGTACACATAAGGTTTCGTTCCAACTGGTACTCGCAATCAGAGTGGAGGAGCCGAACGATATTCAACACTGTCCTTAGGTGCGTGGCTGATATGGGGTTCTGCTTTGAGTGGTATTGCTGGGTCTACAAATCCCAACACTGGGGAGGGGTGTACACCTCCTTCCCAAACCCAAGGTCTGCCAATACCTGCCAAAAGCCCTCCTTCCCCTGCTCGGGGGGGGGTCCACCTCCCCATACCCCCTCCCCTGGGCCCGGGAGAGGGTGGGACGAAGGGGGTGGAGCGTCCAAGATGGCCCAATATTGCTCCAAGAGGGTCTCAGAGAGACGACGATGGCCTCCAAGATTGCTCAAGATACTTCAACATGGCTCAAGATAGCCTCCGACAAACATCCAAGATGCCTCACGACGGCCCCAAAACGCTTTCAAGTGCCCTCCGAGCCCTTCAAGGACCCCCCCAAGAGGCCAGAATGGCTCCCAAACCGAAGGAGCATCAATGTTGTTGTTGCCTTCTCGCCTTTTCGCTTCCGATGGGCTCTTGACGCATTACGATGGCCCCAAGACGGCTCAAGAGAGCCCCAAGAGGGCCCCAAGAGGGCCCAAAGAGCGCCCAAGAGCGGCCCAAAAGCGCCCCAAGAGGGCCTCAAGATGCAATTTTTGAGGTTCCCAGGACGGGGGGGGGGGGGGGGCTGAATTTATGACCCCCCCTCTTTTCGAGTCATGGGGGCCAAGGTGGCCCCAAGAGGCCTCCCAGACCCCCCCAACGAGCCCCAAGAGGGCCCCAAGAAGGCCCCAAGAAAGCCCCAAGAAGGCCTCAAGAGTGCCCCAAGAGACTCCGCGAGAACCCTAAGAAAACCCAAGATGACTCCGAGAAAACGCTTCCAAGGCGGTTGTTGCACTGCACTCTACACGTCGCTGATCAAGGCAACTCGCCAGGCGGTCTGCTTCTGGATGGGCTGGTGGGGGGATACGTGACGCGTCAACCATAATTCTCGACGGCGATTGGCGTAACACTGCAGTGCACAAGAGAGACATGCCGACGCAGTCCGCTTTCCACGCAGACATGGTCAGGTGGGTCCGAACAATGTGTGGATGTGGGCGCGGGTGTGCTGGAGGCAACATGACCCAAATCATGCCAGAGGCAAAAGAAGCGCACTCCTTCCAAGCGCGAAGAACTGCGTGCTGCAACCGCTCGGCGTCGGCCCCAACGTCCGCGACGGCCCGACGTCGCAGCAGACCTTGGGCCTCCGTGGCCCGCCGCCCCTCCGCGTCCAGCCGCCGCTGGTAGAGGTGCCCCGCCCGCCAGGCGGTGAGAGCCTTGACCAGCAACCTCCCCGCGGCCCCGCTGGAGCCCAGCGCGAAGTCCACTGGCGCCCACGTCGCGGGCGCCTGGGCGCCCTCCGCGGTCGGCGGCGCACGCGGTGGCGCCAGCGGCGGCGGCGCCAGGGCCAGGGCCTCTCCGAAGTCGTCCAGATCGCACAAGCCCCTGCCCGCAGGCATCGGCGAGACGCGCCAACCGACAGCTGGGCGGCGAGCGACGCCGGCCTGCTCGGCGAGCTGCTCGCCGCCGCCCAGGGCGACCAAGCCCTCCTCGAGCCGGGCGCCTGGCCCTCCGCGCTTCGACCACTTGCGCCGCGCGCCCAGCAGTGCGCCCCCGCACGGCCGCCGCTCCCCGGCGCAGGCTTGCAGCCGCGCTGGGCGGAAGCCCGGCGGGCCCCCAGGAGCGCCTGGGATGGCCTGCGCGCCGGCGCCCGAGCGCAGCAGCTTCCACAGCTCCCGCAGCTCGAGCTCGTGCTGCCACGCCTGCTGCTCCAGAGCGGCTGCATGGGCGCGGCCGCGCTCCTCGAGGCACAGCTCGTGCTGGCGCCTCTGTGCCGCGAGCACCTCGTCCAGGTCGCCCCTGCCCCAGCTCCTGCCCAGCTCGCGCTCCGCCTCGGGGCGGCGCTGCGCGGCCCGGTGGTGGGCCTGTGGGCTCCTCGGCCCGACGGCCTCGTCCTGCACCGCTGGAGCACCGCGGACCTCCCTCAGCGAAGCGCCGCGCAGGCGGGGCTCGGAGCAGTGCCCGGAGAGCGCCGCTCGCTGCCTCCAGCCTGCTCGGGGGGCCGCCGGCTGCGCGTCCCGGATCGGAGGCAGGCTGCGCTGGCCGGGCCGGCGCCAACGGGGGGGGGGGGCAGAAAGTTAGGTCGGGCACGTCCTTCTGCAGGCGGAATTGGGAAAAGAGAATCAGAAAGTGAGCATCAAAGAATAATAATAATAGCAACGCAAAACACGAAACATCGCCACCAGACTACTCTGCAACTCTGCTGAAGCATTCCTCCTGTGGAGGGACGTGCCCGACTGAACCAGAAAGCGGGGGGGCCGATGGAGGGCTGCAGGACAGTGGCCCTGAGCAGGGATCCAGAGACTACCGCCCTGCGCCCCAAGGAGGGGCTGGAGAGGTGCGCCCTTCTGCACACCACGCTGCCCTCTGAGGGAGAAGATCCCAGACCCCTTCGGGTCATGACGAACATCATGCCGGCTGGTGTTCCGCAACTTCCGGCCCCTGCTGGGGGCCTTCACCGGCCCTCGGGACAGCCAATCAAATGACTCGGGATGAAAAGCTGGTCTCCGGGGACTGGGTCGAGCCCTCTGTGGGGGTCGACGCTGTGAACAAAATGCATGATGTCGGGGGTCTGGGACGGGGGCGGGCGAGGGGGTGGAGACGCGGGCGCCCCGAAGCCGCTGCACGGCCACGCGACTATCACCACACCGCCCACGGGGAGCTCGAGGCACCAACGGCCGACCATCGCCAAGATGGTTCCTCACCCCGCGTCAACTCCCCCGACGTCCGACGTTGCAGAAACAGTTGTTTCGTCGGCGGCGAGGCGGAGGCAATCCGCACCAGCGTGGGGCGAATCCGCATTGCAACAAGGCCTCACATCGCAGAGTGTCACGGCCGAAGCTGTCTCGAGCTGGATCGGTCTGTGAGGGACCCCTGGGCTCCGAAATGCTGGGAGACAAAACACAAGTTGTGACAGAATCGCATCGCCAGGATCGGAAGACAATTTTTCGCGCTGAATCAATATGTGATGTCAGCGCCCCTCATATGGGGACTCCACCAACGGGTACTTTGGCCAGTGACCCAGCGAACCCAGCCCTCCCCGATGTGGGCAACGCTGCAGTGCCAGAAACATGCCCAACAGTGACACCTTTGGGCAAATCTTCAAAGTCCCAGTTAGTGAGTACCCGTTACGGTGCCGCTGATGATAGCCTCGGGGCGCGATCGCCGGGCGGCAGAAACGCTTGTTGCGAAACATATGTCAGGTCGGGCATGTCCCCCTACGGGCGGATGGGGGACGAAACCTAGAGAATGGTGAAAAGACCTGACTCGAGAAAGCTCGAAGAGATTCAAGACCGTCCCCAGACCAGTTTTTGTTGCCTATCTCTTCATGCTCCCCCCGTAGAGGGACGAGCCCGACTCAACGCTTGTCGCAAAGCGAGTGCCACGCCGGGGCAGGAGGAGGAGGAGGAGGAGGAGGAGGAGGAGGAGGAGGACCCAGAGGTCTCATATCGTCCAAAGTGGACGCCAGGTTTCGGCGTTCAAAATTTGAACGCCAGGATTTGGACGCCAGACAATCACCAGCTTTGTTTCTTGATGTTTATCTATCAAATCTACAAAAAACATCATCATCACTCCTCATGATATCATCCCCTCCCTTCCGCAACCTCGTCGTCCTCCTCTCCTCCCCCCTCTCTTCCCTTCTGATCCCTTCCCCCAGTCATCCTCCATTCCTCGACCCCCCTCCTCATCCCGTCCATCTCTTCCCTTCATTATCATTTCCCCTCGCTTTCTCCCTATCGTCCCCCCTCATACCCTTGTCTTCCTTTCCGCCCTCCCCTCGTCTATATGTTTATCCCTCGATCTCTCTCATTTTCTCTGTATTGGCATGTTGCTATATCTCTCTATATATTTATATATGTATGTATGTATGTATGTATATATATATATATATATATATGTATCCGTGTCTCTCTCTCTCTCTCTCGTTTTTGTCTCTCGGTATCAAGCGACGCAGAGAAAAACTCATGCCACGTCGCAGCCAGCGTCCGTTGTGCGACGGGCGTCAGGCACCATACGTTCGAGGGCGGTCCAGCCCTCCAACACAGTCATCAAGTCGTAAGGGTCGAGCCCCATGTATTCCACACAAGATGTACAAACGGGAAACTCCGAAAGGACGAGGGAGGGGGAGTGCCCCGCAGGATCTGCGCATATGTGCGACCCACGGCGCCTCCTCGGAGGAAGAAGTGCACGTGCCCGCCGCGGATTCCGAGCGCGGCCTCGGCGCGCGCCAGACCGCGAGGGGCCACCAAGTGCCGCAATGACCGCGAGAGGCTGGGACGGGACGGGCAACGACGGGCAACCGCGGACTACGAAGGGGCAGCGACGGCCGCGAGGTGCCCACGAAAGGTCGCAGGGCCGCGGCGGCGAGCGCTACGGCGGCGGCTGGGCCTCCCCGATGAGGCGAGAGCACACAAAAGCAATCAAACGCACCATAGTTGGAGGCGCGCCCACGGGAGGGTTTCGGTCTAGATCTGACCAGCAGCACGTGGCGTACATCTCTCTCTATATATCTATATATCTCCCTATACTCGCTCTCGCTCTCTCTCTCTCTCTCTCTCTCTCTCTCTCTCTCTCTCTCTCTCTCTCTCTCTCTCTATATATATAAATAAATATATATATATATATATATGTGTCTCGCTCTCTCTCTCTCTCTCTCTCTATCTCTCTCTCTCTCTCTCTCTCTCTTCCGCGCTTCCGCTATATCGCTCTCTATCTCTCACAGTTTCGATATTTGTTTCTATCTCTCTATATCTAGCTATATGTTTATCTGTTTACGTAGTTGTCTCTATCTCTCTCTCTTTCGATCTCTGTCACCAACCCCCATTTTCGATCAACTAGCTTCCGCGCTTGCCACTATGCCACGTGTCCCGCAAACGCCGTCCGTTTACCTCCCATTGACTCGCCACTGACCCTCATTGACCTCAAACACCTCCTATGTGCCAACAGTGGATCCATTCAGGGCCGTCAGTGCAGAACGTGCCCCCACACACGCGAGAGGGCCTTAGGAGTGGGATGGGGGCATAGAGGAAGGAGAGTGAGTGCGTGAGTTAGTGCGGGACGGGGGTCGGTAGGGACTGAGGGAGTTGCAGGTAGAGACATGTATACACACATATATATGTATATGTATATGTATATACATATATATATATACATGTATATGCTTACATATATACATATATATACAGTTTTGTATAAACGGTATATATATATGTATATAGATAACGCGAGACATACAAGGTGCAGGGATGACAGGAAGGGAAGGAACGGAGGAGAGAGAGCGAGAGCGAGCGAGAGCGAGAGAGAGGGAGAGAGAACGTGCGAACGATAGACAGCCATAGGAGGCGAGCAATGGTGAGTCACAGTTGGTTCGACGAGCACGTGGCACCTTTGGGGCGCGGGGTGGGAGGAAGATCGGGGCTGGACGGAAAGGGTGCGCCCTCCCTCCCCATCCATCCCGTGTCCCAAACGTTACCAGATGCCCAGGGGAACCTTTCAAATTTCTGTCAGTGCAGAACGTCGATTGCCAGAACTCCTCGAGAGAGATCGGTGCTCGTTCGCGCAGTCTCGGCTCGCCGCTTCAGGGCGCACCTTCGGCCATGCTAATCTTTGAAATTCCCTCCCGAGTCAGCCCGTGCCCCGCCCCCCCACTCCCGCTCACCGCTTCTGCCCGCTTCTTTCTTCCTCACTCGTTCGTTATCTTCACGCTGACCTCATGCCCATCCCCATGTTTCTCTTACCCCTGATCCGAAGCCCATCGTTGGAGACGGATGGCGTTGCGAACAGGCTCGTGCAGCCACGTGTGTTCACACGTGGCTCTAATTTGCGGTGATGTGTTGATTGCTGTCGTGCGCGAGTGGTCGTTGTTTTGTTTGTTGCTGTTGGTGGCTAGTCGTTGCTGATGCTGCTTATAATCGTTGCCACCGCTGCTAGTGCCGATCGTCATCAATCGGACGCGGAGCCGTCAGACTTCGCAGCCACTACAGCCCGCGCTACAGCGTTGCACATCTCTTTGGGGTACTGCTGGCTGGCCTTCTGCTCGGACGTGCCCGTCACCCAGCTCGAGCTCCCGCCCCACCCGCGTTTGCCATCCTCCTGCATGCTATCATCCTGGCCGTGCTTGCGTTTCTTCTCCTCGCGAATGAAGAGCGGCTTCGTCTCCGACAGCGCCTCGGGGGAAGCGCAGAGGCGGAGGGTGAGAGGGCGCGGGGGGGAAGTGGAGAAAGCTGTGATGTGGGAGGGAAGGGGGGGATAGAGGCTGGAGCAAGATGGGAGAGGTGATAGAGGGGCGACAGGAGAGATGGGGAGGGGAGGCGTGGTACTAGGGGCGGGGGGGGGGATCTGAGATGATCATCGGGATGATGCTGCAATACACCGTCCCATTCCAACCCTCTCGAGAAACACGGCCAGGCCCCGTTTCGAAATTGCCGATGCCCTTCACGCGAGCGTCGGCACCCTCCTGCGTCGCGCGGAGAGTGGTAAGGGCATTCTCGGGGAGGGTTGTGTAGATCTCCAGAGGTTTCCTGCTAGGGGCGCCGAACTGGCCAGCGTACACGATGATCCTGCGAGCGCCAATGGTCTCCAACGCTGCTTTCATGGATGGATGGTGGTACAGGATGGAGTTGATGGGCTGTTCGATGGCCACATAAACGTTCCGTGAGAAGCAGACCACCATCAACCATGACCTTCGGGGGCGTGAGCAGTGACCACCATCAACGGTAGGATCGGAGCGAGAGGAAAAAAGAGGAGGAGCAGGAAGAGGCACGGGACATTGATGAGGGACTCAGAAAATTAGATTGTCGGAGGAGGGGGAGGGACGAGGAGGAGGAGGAGAAATATTGCTTGCAGTTTCAACTCGTACCATTTTGCAGTTTAAGTGGACGGTTTATGTGCGTTTGCAGTTTAGCTCATACCCGCGTGGCACACCCTGGCACGACCCACCCACGCCATCTCGCACACCAGCTTGGTGTCGCAACCACCCCTTTTCAACGCAACATGGCAAACATGCTACACGATCATCCAGAGTTTCTCACATGGACCC